GGATGAGGAGGAAGGATATAAAGACATGTTTGCAAATTTCATATCACATGCATACATACACATACACACACACACACATACATATATAGATACAAGCGAAAATAATATATATTCGTGAGATTTTTATTTATACTGTCGTACCCTTGATATGTTAGAATTTGAATTTGATGTGACGTTTGGGCTGGAACTTTCGTTGTAAACGAAGGTGGGATCACTTTGCGAATCTTACATGCTTACTTAATTTGGCACGAAATCTGACATTACTAAATTATGATGCCATTTTCTTAACCGGTCACCTTTACTGGACCACTAAATAATTCATAAATAAAAAGAATATATTTAAAATATTAAATTTCACACGGAATATTTTTTTGTGACTTCATACCTCCCCTAATTCGGATGTGAAGTTTACCCTTCACATTTGATGCAATTTTCCTAATACCATCGCAAATATTATCCTTTTTTGTAAACCTAATCTATACAGATGATATTGTCTTCCTCCCTTGCCACAATCCGAATGCTCCTCTGGCGAGAAAAAATTCTCCATGCACATATTACATTCGAAATCGGGCAGTCTCAACTGTTGCGACTATACTGCAATGCCTATTTCATAATGGGTGAGCGGCTGAGCTTTGGTAACCCAAGTTCTCATGCTAAACTGGCTGTCCTGAGCCTCTTGAATAATTCATTTAGATATTAATTTGTACTAAGCATCGAATGTCAGCCGTTCCCATATCTGCATCCTGTCAAAATGTTTCCCACTTCAGGGCCAATTCAGACATGCATTCCATTTGCCAGCTCTAATTCATTGGTCGTGTTTCGTTGTTTTGCTGAACCTTTGAAGGTGGATGAACTAACAAAAAATATGGATCCCCCCAAAGGTCACAAAGTAACATAAGGTTACGTTTGTTGATGTAAGGGTGGCTAGGGCTGATACATATGAGTATGTATGTGTGTATGTATGTACGTGTGCCTGGTTGCCTAGGTTAAAACCCAATGAATTGATCATAGAGGCGGATTGGGAGTTTGTAAAATGCCAGAGCAAAAATGCCCTTTAATGGGAGCAGACTACAAATTATTCGCCGCTGCGTGGACTGGCCAACTGTACTCAAATGGAGGCTAATCTGTTGACAGCCTCTGAACTCCTCTTAACATGGCGCCATACTCAACGGGGCTCATTCTTGTGGACTAGCCTCAGGCTCCACGTCGCCGGCATTGGCACGTCAAACTGGGACCGATCCTTTGGGGCCTGATCTTCGAGGCGCACTGGCGTAGGGTTTAGCCAGACATGGCTCGAAAATGGTGGGGCAAACGGATGGATGGCTTAAAGAGAGGCTCGTCTTATGCACCGCCCTCGCGCCAGCAACATAATCACCTCGAGCCGACTTGCCGTGGACGTGGCGACAGACGATTTACACCTCGACGATATTAGAAACCTCCAAATGGCTACAGATCAGAAGGACAACAATTTGCATCGAAACCTTGTCGTTCTCTTGAAGGATTGGTCTATTGTTTGGTCACTCCCAACAAAGACAGTCGTTTAGGCAGGGACCTTTGAGATTCAGTTCTAAAGGCTTTGTATTAGCCAGATTAGGGCTGAGTACTCAGATTTGGGCACCTGTTTATTCATTATGAAAAACATTAGACTGTACCAGTAGGGTAAAATACACACACAAACACACACCTACATACAGGGGTATGAGAACTATGACTTACTTTGCTCAAATCAGCCTGGGAACGGCAAGATACAGGAGTACACGCAAGCAAAAACACATGTTGGGCAATGTCCAAAAGGATACTTTTCACGTTCGTGTGGCGATGGTCATACAAAAGAGTTGGTGTAATTGGCACGATGGTTAATTTTACTGTCCAAGTGGTAAGGCGAGCCTTAGATGTAGCCGAACTAATCGTTTTCGCACGCAGGGATTAGGATTATCTACGACCCAAAGTTGGTGGGTGCCTTGCATGTCCCTTTGAGTAAACTCAAGTGGTCTGGCAGTCGTATCAAGACGTCAAAATTCTCGCAAATATCTTCTCACGGCATCAAGGGCACTCCGGCAGGCTCTGTCGTGAACAGCCCAAAGAATTTGTTAAATTTCACAGCTCTCAAACGGAAGGATTAGTAAGTTAACATTAGGGGTTTTGCAGTCGAGAGTGATTGGTCAGAGAAAACACAAATTGTGAACGATACAACTGCGTTTTCCACTATTAGTTTGAGTGAAGTCTCCAACAACAAATGTCGGACTAATGACTTAATAGTCCGGTCTACTAAGCTACAAAAGAAATGAAACATGTCCAGTCTTTGAAACGGAAGGAGACTGCGACCACAAAAAAGACCACACCATCTTGGTCTTCATACTTTCAATAAATCTATGGAAGTAAGATTGCCAAACAATGTACTAATTACAGCCGAACAAAGAAGACAATTGTAAGTCAATCCTGCCATTTGGCCTTTTTGAATTGTTGCTAACTTTATGGTATTGCTCCCCGATTATGCAAGTTAATAAAGAAGTATCATTCGGACACAGTTAATGAAATACTTTATTACGCCTCAATCCAGAAATTAGAGGAAAGTTACTAGACTGAGAGGCGTAGGTTATTTAAGTTCATAGATCTCAAGTCTATATTAACGAAGTATCTAGGTGGGGTTCCCACTTTGCATGATTTTCAAAAAAAAACTCCAGAGCATGACACACCAGATGTCACAGAGTGTTCGGGATCTGATAAATAAGAGGTATGACAAGAAATCCCTTAGCTATGGGATAATAAGATGGAGAAAGATCAAGCCAACCCGGACAAATTTTGATGGTTCTTTAGGAATAGAGAAAGGATAGACGAGGCTGCGATTGGAGCTGGCTGGCTGACAGTAGGTTTTACAAGATACATGGTCCATGTGGCAAAGGCGTGACCATTAGACTTACTCTGAGTCTTGAGCCCCGAATTAGTCACCCAGGTGCAAGATTGGACGAATTACGTCTATAATAGCAGAGATAGGGGGGCAGGGGTTGAGTGAAATACATGTACCAGGGAGATAGCAGACGAATTTGAAGTGGCAAGAGGGAGACTTTGATAGGACCCAGGGAAGGACTACGTAACAATATGACAGACTCTGGTCAACA